TAAGCAACATAAGAACCCGGTCAAAGGCTAGACATTACCCTTCAAATCTAACCGTACAGGACCCAAAAAAGGAAAATCAGGGTTAAGGAATAAACGGCAAAATAGCACTGAGATATGCCATACATATTCACCATTTTTTGNGAACCCGGTCAAAGGCTAGACATTACCCTTCAAATCTAACCGTACAGGACCCAAAAAGGGAAAATCAGGGTTAAGGAATAAACGACAAAATAGCACTGAGATATGCCATACATATTCACCATTTTTTGCCCCAGCTAACCAGAGTCACATAGAGGAGATGCACATTTTCAAGAAACTAAGCAGAAAGAAGCTAAGTTTATCCACCACCTCTTACAGACGTTCTGTGTAATGAGATGGAATTTGAACATCAGAAAACAGACAAAGTAAAAGTACATAGGACATTAAAACTTTCGAACCATATTTGCACCATTAAGTCAGTGAAAAAGGGGTATAANGGAATTTGAACATCAGAAAACAGACAAAGTAAAAGTACATAGGACATTAAAACTTTCAAACCATATTTGCACCATTAAGTCAGTGAAAAAGGGGTATAATTTTTTANTATTAGCCGTTAAATTAATTTTAAAATAAAATTTAAAGCGATCTCAACCGCGAATAATAAAAGTCATTTTGTTTATCTTTCGAGATTTGAATTATAAGTTATTTTATTTTATATACTAGTTATTATTTGTGTCTGAATGTACAGAGTAATAAAAAATGATAAACAATAAATATATGTGTATTTATATTCAAAATTAAATCACAAACATAGAGAAGAGATGAAAGAATTTAAGCATCATTTTGTTGTGAGAGTGAGAGGTGGTGGACGACAGTGGTGGTGGTAACAATCGATAATGGTTGTGGTTGGTGACAATAATTGTGGTGACGATGATGTTGGTGGTGGTGGTGATGGCAACGACGAGGGTGGTGGTGGTGGCTGTTGTGGTGGTGGGTGGTGGTGACGAGGGTGGTGGTGATGGTGACGACGGTGGAGGTGGTGACAACAGTGGTGGTGGTGGTGACGACAATGGCAGTGGTGGTGGTGGTGGTGGCGGTGGCAGCAGGGTGATGGTGATAGAGGTAGTGGTGGGGCGGTTTCAAATACTATTTTTTTTTAAGTATTTATGAGAAATAATTACTAAAAGTATTTTTAAAAAATCCCTTCAAACATACCCTTAGGGGCATATTTTTCTTATTAAATTTAAGGTATTAATATTAACCGTTAGATTAACTTTAAAGTAAAATTTAAAGTGCTCTCAACCGCAGTTAGCAAAAGTCATTTTGTTTATCTTTTGAAATTTAAATTGTTAGTTACTTTATTATATAGACTAGTTATTACCTGTGCCTGAAAGTATAGAGTAATAAAAAATAATAAACAATAAATATATTTGTATTCATATCTAAATTCAAATCACAAACATAAAAAATAGATAAAATAATTTAAACATCGGTTTGTAATAGGGGCGAAAGGTGGTGGGCGACAATGCTGGTGGTAGGAGATAGTGATGGTTGTGGTGGGTGCCAATTACCTTGGTGGTGGTGGTGGTGGCGGTGGCAGTNATTAAACATCAATTTGTAATAGGGGCGAAAGGTGGTGGGCGACAATGCTGGTGATAGGAGATAGTGATGGTTGTGGTGGGTGCCAATTACCTTGGTGGTGGTGGTGGTGGCGATGGAAGTGGTGGTTGTGGCGATGGTGATGGTGGCGGCGACGGTGGTGGTAGAAGTAGTGGTAAGACGGTTTCAAACACTATTTTTAAAAAATATATTTATGAATAATAATTTCTAGAAATACTTTTAAAAAGTCACTTCAAACACACTTTTAGGAGCCTGTTTTTTTTTATTAAATTTAGAGTGTTAATATTAGTTGTTAGATTAACTNCAGTGGTGGTTGTGGCGATGGTGATGGTGGCGGCGACGGTGGTGGTAGAAGTAGTGGTAAGACGGTTTCAAACACTATTTTTAAAAAATATATTTATGAATAATAATTTCTAGAAATACTTTTAAAAAGTCACTTCAAACACACTTTTAGAAGCCTGTTTTTTTTATTAAATTTAGAGTGTTAATATTAGTTGTTAGATTAACTTTAAAGTAAAATTTAGAGTAATCTAAACCGCAAAAAGCAAAAGTCATTTTGTTTATCTTTTAAAATTTGAATTGTAAGCTACTTTATTATATAGACTAGTTATTGTATGTGACTAAAGACACACAATAATAAAAAATAGTAAACAATAATATATTTGTATTCATATCCAAAATTAAATTACAAACATAGAAAAGAGATAAATGCATTTAAACATCGATTTGTAGTGAAGGTGAAATATAGTGGTCGGTAATTATGGTGGTAGGGGTGGTGGCGATGGTGGTGGTAGTAGTGGCGGCAGCGGCGCCGATGATGGTGGTGGTAGGGACGGCAGCGATTATGGTGGCGGTAGGGACGGCAGCGATTATGGTGGCGACGGTGGAGGTAGAGGTAGAGGTAGAGGTGGTGGTGGCAGTGATGGTGACGGTGGCAGTGGTGGTGGCGACAACTGCGATGATAGGGTGGTGGCGATGGCGGTGGTGGAGGTGGAGGTAGCAGTGGCGGTGGTGGGAGGTGACGATGGTGGTGGAGGTGGAGGTTGAGGTGGAGGTGGCGGTGGTGGTGGTGACGGTGGCGGTGGTGGGGGGTGGCAGTGGTGGCAGAGGCAATGGCAGTGGCGGTGGTGGTAGTAGAGGTAGTGGTAGAACGGTTCGAAACAATATTTTCTTTTAAAGTGCTTATGAGATATAATTCCTATAAACATTTTTAAAAAATTACTCCAAATACACCCTTATTTTTTTTTATTAAATTTGAAATTTTAATATTAGCCGTTAGATTAACTTTGAAATAAAATTTAAAACAATCTCAACTACAAATAACAAAAATTATTTTATTTATCTTTTAAAATTCGAATTGTAAACTACTTTATTATATAGATACATACAATAATATTCAAACACACACCATCACGTACTTAAGTCCATTCGGGCATGAAACTTGTATGTATATAATTCTTAATTTTTTTATTTTATTTTATGAAAGAAATTTAACGAAGTCAAGATGTTTGTGCATATATATTATTGGAATTGGAAAAGTCAAGATTAGGAGCAAGAAATTATTATAGAATGACGTACATATTTGTACTTCTACTTATAGGATGATGATGGGAAGAAAACCGAGCTNCTTTAAAGTAAAATTTAGAGTAATCTAAACCGCAAAAAGCAAAAGTCATTTTGTTTATCTTTTAAAATTTGAATTGTAAGCTACTTTATTATATAGACTAGTTATTGTATGTGACTAAAGACACACAATAATAAAAAATAGTAAACAATAATATATTTGTATTCATATCCAAAATTAAATTACAAACATAGAAAAGAGATAAATGCATTTAAACATCGATTTGTAGTGAAGGTGAAATATAGTGGTCGGTAGTTGTGGGGGTAGGGGTGGTGGCGATGGTGGTGGTGGTAGTGGCGGCAGCGGCGCCGATGATGGTGGTGGTAGGGACGGCAGCGATTATGGTGGCGGTAGGGACGGCAGCGATTATGGTGGCGACGGTGGAGGTAGAGGTAGAGGTAGAGGTGGTGGTGGCAGTGATGGTGACGGTGGCAGTGGTGGTGGCGACAACTGCGATGATAGGGTGGTGGCGATGGCGGTGGTGGAGGTGGAGGTAGCAGTGGCGGTGGTGGGAGGTGACGATGGTGGTGGAGGTGGAGGTTGAGGTGGAGGTGGCGGTGGTGGTGGTGACGGTGGCGGTGGTGGGGGGTGGCAGTGGTGGCAGAGGCAATGGCAGTGGCGGTGGTGGTAGTAGAGGTAGTGGTAGAACGGTTCGAAACAATATTTTCTTTTAAAGTGCTTATGAGATATAATTCCTATAAACATTTTTAAAAAATTACTCCAAATACACCCTTATTTTTTTTTATTAAATTTGAAATTTTAATATTAGCCGTTAGATTAACTTTGAAATAAAATTTAAAACAATCTCAACTACAAATAACAAAAATTATTTTATTTATCTTTTAAAATTCGAATTGTAAACTACTTTATTATATAGATACATACAATAATATTCAAACACACACCATCACGTACTTAAGTCCATTCGGGCATGAAACTTGTATGTATATAATTCTTAATTTTTTTATTTTATTTTATGAAAGAAATTTAACGAAGTCAAGATGTTTGTGCATATATATTATTGGAATTGGAAAAGTCAAGATTAGGAGCAAGAAATTATTATAGAATGACGTACATATTTGTACTTCTACTTATAGGATGATGATGGGAAGAAAACCGAGCTAGGTAAATTTGAGGCCAGGAAGCAGATAAATGGGACCCACTTGTTTCTAGAATTTCTATTTTTTCAAACTGCATTTTAGTGTTGGTTGGAATGGGTTCAAGCTTATTAGAAACTTCTATTCCTTAAAACAAATAAGTCTATAAGGAATACTTTTGTTCAAGAGAATATTTTTAGGGTAGAAAGTCTTAAATTCAAAATCTTTCGAGCATGTCTTGAAATTAAGAAAGCCAAATGTTCTTTATTATTCTCGGAGAGCCATTAACAATTCATGTGAAATCATAAGGAAAGAGACTAAGACAACCCACGATGATTGGTTCAATGGAAAAAAAATAAAAAAACTGAGACAATATAGTCACACATTTTAACTTCAAATTTTATAAATATGTCAACACAAATCTAATACCACACAAAACCCTAAAATACTCACGATCAATTAACACAGATAATAAATAGATCAAAATAAAGTTAAACACGAATAATAGTCCTATTAACAACCCTAGTCACCATACGAAACCCGTACAAACCCTAATATCACGAGGTAGATCTAACTGTAATTCGACTTGTAACAACCTGGTCCAACTTCTTGTGATATTGGCCGTTTTAGGGCAAGGTTTTGGCGGCACATGTTAGACAGAGCATCTACATTTTAATCTACTGACCTTTTTCTAACCTCGTTAGGTTTCTCACCTCACCCTTTCTCTATATCTTTTGCACTATAGGATGACCAGACTTTGAGCTACCACAAGTGGAACTGATAACTAGATTTGCTTATGACCACCACAATAACTGAAAATAGATTCATTAAGGATTGCTCGTGACCGTGACAATAACAGAAACTAGATTTACGATGGATCGTTTTGACAAAACAAAGGATAGATTACGATAAAAGTACTTCAGATTAAAAATTTAGAAGGGTCCTGTAAAAAACTTCAACTGAAGCCAGGTTAACCAGATGTTCAGTTGCAGGGGAAAAAACAAAGTAACTCTTGCTATAGAAAAGCTGGAAATACCGAAGCAAAGGGAAGTTTCCTCGCCATTTCATCACGTCTCTCTCTAGATGCAATAGACTGCGCATTCCTTCCATGGAATTTGCGTATCTGATGACTAGTTAACGAAAGAGGAGCGAGGAAGTCGTGGCCTCACAGGTGTCTTCGAAGGACTTACCCTTTAACACACAAAAAATTCGGTGTAAAAAAAAAAGGATCAGCCTATTCATAGTAATAAAGGTTGGTATATTAAAGCCACTGTTCCGGGACTTCACCTGATGCGTTGAGATCCCAACAACTCGCCACAACAATCCAGTGCAACAATCGCACTCTCTGCCTGCACAGCAAGTAAAAGATTCAGTTTGAAAAAGAAAATAACACCATTCGCATTCTAATTTCAATAAGGGAAACAAGTACATCTGTTGAATCCCAAATAACAGATTCGTTCAATTCTACAGCTGCTTAGGTACCTGTTAACAGAAAACGACTAAATAGGGTCCCTAAAGGATGCACCAACCTCACTTTGCTACCTCGATTGAAAAATTCATCAACTAAATCCCAACAAGTATAAAACAAAATAGGAGTGATTATTTCAAGGAAAACAGGGACATGTATAGAAGAACAACTTCAAGCATCAAAGCCTTGTACATTTCCTCAAGATGCATTGTTTTCCTAATATGTGGAAACATCTCAGAAACATGATCTCTGCCATATGCTTGTGAAGAACACTTCCCCAATTTTTTTTTCAAAAGTTCACTCCAAATTTTCAATGGATTAAGAAGGATCATATCAAAGTACTTAATTGCCCTACATGGCTCTTTTTGTTCAGACATAATCAGCTCCATAAGAGTTACTGAGACATGTCCATCTATGTTTCCTTTAACAATCGGTCAATTACCCTTCACGGAATTGTTGGGAGTGCAGGTTCAGCAGTTGTACAGACCCTTCCCAAATATATCTGTATTTTTCTACACCAGATCTAGTAAATTGGTGTACCGAAAAAGTTGTGAAAACCTAGCAGTAATGATGCTTATCGCATATTTGTAAGAGCAAAAATTCATGGTATGATTTCCAGTGTGATCTTTTTAGAATATTCAAAATCCTAAAGGATGTCGGAAGACAGTTTAGATTGATAGACACTAGGATCAATCAGGTCTAAAACTTGTAGAGATGTCTAGAAATAGAACACGGATAGAAAGTGATCAACCATGGTATTGAAGTGTCAACTTGATTAGCTGTTCCGAGGAATGCTAATAAGGATGACCTGATGCTAATAAGGGTATTTCGGGAAGACCACTGGTTCCTCAATTCTTTCATTGCTGAGCAGAATATGGCAAAAGAAATAATCCGCCACAAGTCAATGACCACAAAATGTCTTAAACGGGAGAAACAACCTTTTATAATACACTTCATTATTATTCTCTAAAAAAAATTGGATGAGGGATATGATCCTTCACATTTAATCTATTTTCCCTTATGTCCACACTAAGATCAAATTCATATGTTCATAAGCATACCCATATCTTGTTGGGTTGAGGATCAGTGATTGGCCTAATGGCCACCGCAGCCCGCCGTTGGACCATTAGGTCGCGGGTTCAAACTTCACCGCCCCCTCCCCTGTAACAGTTCAAAATAGTTTTAATACCTTGTTGGGAACCCAATATAATGTCTCAATTTTCAGTTCGTTGTCCAAACATTTAGCAACCAAAGATTGACAACATAGATCAAGAAAATGACTCCTGTAATTTGTGTGACTAGGAAGGTAAAATCAGATGGAAAGGCAATCCCACTAAAGAAGTTTGACAGGCCTTCCATAGCTTAATTCAGAGGTCTTACATGCTCCTATGATCCAATTTTTCCAATAAAGACACAGGTTATTCAAATGTTGATTCCTATGAAGGACCACAAAGATCTCCATTCAACAAACCAGACTTATTCTTTATACCCTTGCACATACTTAACAGTGTTCTTAGACATCAGTATCTGTATTTTACAAGTTGAAAATATGTTCATAAAGTGAAAAATTGCAATCTCTCCTCTTTAATGAACTTCCTATATGGTCATTTAGTATCTTCCTAGAAAGCCTAAACATTACCAGCTAAGCAACATAAGAACCCGGTCAAAGGCTAGACATTACCCTTCAAATCTAACCGTACAGGACCCAAAAAGGGAAAATCAGGGTTAAGGAATAAACGACAAAATAGCACTGAGATATGCCATACATATTCACCATTTTTTCCCCCAGCTAACCAGAGTCACATAGAGGAGATGCACATTTTCAAGAAACTAAGCAGAAAGAAGCTAAGTTTATCCACCACCTCTTACAGACGTTCTGTGTAATGAGATGGAATTTGAACATCAGAAAACAGACAAAGTAAAAGTACATAGGACATTAAAACTTTCGAACCATATTTGCACCATTAAGTCAGTGAAAAAGGGGTATAATTTTTAACAAGTTTAGTGAATGCACTCATCAAAGAAATAGTTTTTCTTAAACACAAAAAACCATCACTGTAAAAGAAAGGACCTAACCAAATCCAGCCATATAGTTATCACAATTGCTATTTGCTTATACCATAAATATGAACTTACCATGACAAACTCAACAAAAGCGATACGGGTGGAATGCACCTGATCCCCCAAAAGCCTCAGGCGAGAAACCTGCATACAGGAAAATCTAGTCAATTCCATGAGAAAACTATCATATACCCATTCACGAAACTGAGTAAAGAACTTCAAATTTGGGGCATTGCTCTCTGACCTCACCACATCTTGTTTCAAAGAAGTTCTTGACATCAGCTTGGGAAACCTGCATTGGCAATATATCCATCAATTCTATATTGAAACAAAAAAAAAATAATCCTAATTTTTATCTTTAACTCATTAAGGGGTAAAAGGTTATTCAATAACAATTAATACACCAAAGCAGGAGAACACTAAAACCCAGTATTGAACCAATGAAATACAAAGGTGTGCTCATAACATATGCAGCAGAGAATTCAAAGTTGTCCATCGGAAAAGATAGAAGTGCTTACCTTCTTATCAATATTTGTACAGTAAACAGTCCTTGCACACATCTCCCATTCATCCTCTGACTGTATTTCAATCAATCATCAAGTGTGTATACAAAACAAAATGGAAATCTCCGGGGGATAAAATTGAAAAACTGAACACAAGGGAAGAAATCATGCGCAAGCTTGACACAGATAGGAATACAACCAAAAAGCTAGAGTAATCATACCCTGGGAAGAAATGTAGGGTTCACGGGAAGGATAGCAGTTTTTGAAGGTAAGACCTTAACCGGAGAGAATCCTAGCATTGTCACACCAAGGTTAAGAGCTGCTCTCGCAGATTCTGTTGGTATCAATTTCATGTGACATGTAAGATGTGAGGAATCACACAAATACCCATTGTAAACAGTGACATATTCTCATATTCAGGCATAAATATCCAGCTTACGCTCATCAGCAAACTCTACAAATGCAAAGCGAAGACGGGAATGAGGGTCGCCGCAAACTCGGCAATCAGAAACCTTCAAAGAAAGCATATCAAAGAGATGAGACAGAAAAAAGAGAGGTCATATAATCCTTTACCACATCAATCCTGTATTACAGAAAGTAGTAGTCCACTGGAAAATGGGGGCAGCAAGCAGGATTAAAAGGAACTAAAAAGTGAACTATCTCATGAGAATCAAACTTGTGACTCAAAAATCATAGAATGATGAGAACCTGTATTAACAACTGCTGAAAGTTATTGATTTAACATCATTTAAAACGCCATAAAGTTTCGGCTCTTGCAAAGAAGTTGACTTATTAGCAAGCAAATCCAGGGACAGGATTCTGAATAGAGGAGATAGACATTACCCAAACTAGAACTAAAGAGGAAACCAGAAATAGGCACAGAAAAAAACCAAATGATAAATAAAACCATCATGGCTATCTCTTAAAAACGGTAAAATCACCTCTTGCCCTTTGGAATGAAGGGAAGATGATAATGCAACCTTGTTAGAATGCACATACCAATGCAATAGAGCCCATACCACAAATCTTTCCAGCAAATGTTTGCATAATAAAACAGATATACTAAAATAATGTATTTGAAAAAAATGTGTACAAAAGGGTCTCAAAAACACCAGCACACCTCATGTCAACCGTAAGAAAAATAGTGTTGGTGATGCCTAAAGCTGCAAATCTCACATGGTCATTAAGAAAAAAAATTAATAGAGTCGTATAGATGGCAATACATAAAAATGGCTAACATCTTACCAATTAGGGAGATGTTATTAAAGGAAAAGTTAAAACATAGTAGACAGAAAGGATATAGAATTTAACGTTCATTTAAACATCATTGTAGAAACAAATCTATGTTAGCCTATCAAATTAACTTTATGTTCCGATGAGGATGCCAAAAAAAATGAAAAATGCTAATTGTGACTTAACTCTAATCCTATCATTTCAAACCAATTGATTAAGCCAACAGAAAACCTGTGTCGAATCTACAACCACAAAGCCCTCAACCTCAGATCATGTTAACCATCATGTACTTTTACATCTATGGATGTATGAGGTACTTAATCAAGTTCCAAACATTTGTCAGGGTGCTTAAACAACGGAGATTACTATCCCACTTCTAAGTTTGATGCATCTGAGTCTTAGTAACGACATGGTTTTTTGGACAAAACTACTGTCCACCCCAAAACAAGGCCACATAACATTTGGCTGTTGCTTGCAAAACAACAAAAATCATCACTTCACTGTCACTAACAGTCAGAAAAATCTTTTCACCATTCTGCTCTATGAAGGCCTACATGCTTTGGTAAGTCATATATATGGAAAGAAGTTAACGCTACCTAAAATCTTACCTACAAATATTAACGTGGCAATCGAAACTCTTTCAAGGCCAACAAAGTAAAACATGAAACAATACAATGTTTTCAGCTTTCCATGGTGTAGATGTCATTGTATATAACAAAATAAGATTAAAGAAAATTTACGAATGATTAAAAAAAGCAGAACGAGCACTTAATTTATCCTAAAAGACCAATTCATCACAAAAAGTGAATTCTTTCAACTTAAAATTCTAAACTGAAAAGCCAGCATCCACTAAAGGACTCAAGTATCCCTTATCAAATATCAAGTAGCATAAATCTTAGATAAGCAAAATGACTTACATGCCCATAGCTGCTAAATAAGGTAGCAAGTTCCTCTTCAGTGATCTAATTAGAAGAGGTTAAAAGAATCACATTAAGAAAACAGCTCAAAGAGCACACGAAATTAAATAGACCATACACTGCAACAAGCAAAAGTCTTTATTTTTACTTACATTAGGATCTATGTCAGAGACATACACTGTTCGCCTTATACTATCGTCTCTTTGAGCTCTAAAAGCTCTCCCACTCAGCCGCTTCCTGCCCTGGGTGTAGTTATTTCTTCTCTGGCAAAACAAAAATTAAGTTTGGGTAATATGATTAAAAACAGAGCATAGAATAGAATTCCAAAGGCAATAACAATTCAGAAAGTCTTTCAAAAACAAAAGTTATCAGATCTGTAGTCATTTTGTTGCCAACCAACAGTTCTGAAAGAAATCTTGTCAAAGAAAAAATTCACAAACATGCCACTAGTCTAGCACAAACACAGCCAATCTATTATTAGTTGATTAAAAACAAATAAATATGTAGATGAAAAAATCCACAAGAAATAAAAACTGCAAAAGAGAAAACACCCAAATCACAACCATTGACAACACAAAACATAATGCCCCAAACTGTATGCATATGATGTAAAAGAGAGGAATTTGATTCAACACGAAATCATAAGTACAAACATTCACACACAAGGAAACAAAAATTGGGAAAAAAAGGGAAACCTCACATGGCCTAAAACAGAAAGAGAACCAATTTTGAAGACAGCCGTTTATATACAAGATAGAAGCAGACTAGATCAGAAACTGCATTCTGACCATAGAATTAATAGAAGCAGACTAGATCAGAAACTGCATTCTGACCATAGAATTAATAAGTCCAACAGAAATGCATAAATTAACATACCAAAATATCTCAAATTAAGTCATACAACCAAGGAGACAAATCTACCTACATCAGAAACACAAGCACTTGGATATTAACTTTCAATCAACCAAGCATTCAGTATGCAGAGAATGGATAAATATGTAGATACAGGAACATTATAGAAGGGGCAAATTGAATATGTGAAGTTCAGTGATCAAATTACTGGCAACTATCTCCCATCTAGAAACCCTATGTCAAATTACTGGCAACAATAGCGCAGCAATGATTAAACAAAAAGATTTAAACAAATCCATGAAGACAATGAAATCACAAGGTAAATCCAAATTTAATCACCCACAAAATATGATTTTAAAGATGCAATCCAAATGCTATTAATTAGCGGCCAATTCAAAAGATCAACAATGGTGACATGGGTACAAACCATGCAATGATACGACAGAAACAATCTGGTGGATCCCACAATACAAGTACCGAAATTCTATAAAAGCCAAACACATGCAAATAAGCAGATTAAAACCTCAATTTTCCATACACGAAAACAAAAAATTGAACCCCGACAACCCATTAATATACACCACAGACATGGGACAGTCCAGAAACTCAATGTGAATCACATTAGTCAATTTTTATACCAAATGACAATTAGGAAGATCATAACCATTTGTAATTATACGAAACCGACAAATTGTTTTTGGAATACTTCCCAACAAACCGAATGCCAAAAATCCATTTTTCCATGATACAAATGTCCAACAAGGTACTCGATTTAAATTTTAAATGGAAAAAATTGAATGTAAAAAATCTTCTCCTAACAAAATGGATGCCAAACATCCCTTTCTGACAAACAAAATGTTGAAAATAACTGATTTCACAAAACAAGCATATGAGTATGCCAGTTTGGATTGTGCAAATACGCAGATTAAAACCTTGATTTGAAATACATGAATATGACAAATTTAACCCCGACAACCCATTAGTATACACCACAAACATGAGACAGTTCAGAAACACAGTGTGAATCACATTAGTCGATTTTCACACAAACGATAATTAGGAAGATTATAACCATTTGTAATTATACAAAACCGACAAATTCAACATTTGGAAACCCTTCCTAACAGCCGAATGTTGTAAATCCATTTTTCCACAATACAAAAACATACACATGCCAGATTAGAAACTCGGTTTAATTAAAATGGAGAAAATTTTAATTTCAAAAAATCTTTTCCAGAAAAACCGAATGTCAAACATTCCTTTGTAACTCAACAGGATGCTGAAAATCAATGATCTCGCAATACAAACAAATGTCCATGCCAGTTTGGAAACTCAGTTCAGACCATTCAAATCAAGAATTAGAACGATGTATATGCATGCAGATCAAAGATCTAAACAATGAATTTGTAAGTGACAAAAACAGAATCCTAAAAGCTATTAATCTACAACAGCAAGACATGAAAACTCACTATCCATTAAAATTCCATTTCTATAAAATAACAAAAAAGAAAATTTTACATCTCAAAATCCTTAAAGATTGCATTGTTGAAAGACAATAAAAACCAAAACTAACGTGTGAAATGATAAATAAACGAAAACCCATCAATCAAAACACGAAATTGAGTAAAAGCAGCAACAGAAATGGCAAAATTCAATCAGAAATAGGGAACCAAAAATTATACCCTCCGATTATTCGCGTAGCCAACGTTGCCTGAACTCCTATTAGCTGCCACAAAGGTATTCACGGCCAATTGTCCACCATTATAGGATGAAGGAAAAAACTCTTTCGCCATTGGATTCAGTTTCAAATTGGACAACATGTTGACAATGTCTTTCATTTGCAATTCTGAGTTCGAATTAGAACTCGAATCGGAGTCTTTCACACCATTAGATACATCTATAGTATTGCTATTACAATTAGCATTAACAGTTTCAGTGTTTGGTGAAGATTGAACAGCAGGAACTTCCACTACTGTCTCACCAGACACTTCTGCCCCAGCAGCCATTGAATCAAAACCTCACAAACCCCAAAATAAATAATAAAAAGAGAATAAATTTTGGTAGAAATAAAGCTGCTTTCTTTGATTCTCTACCACAACCCAATCTTTCTATCTCTATACAGAGATGAGAAGAAATGGGTTTCTTCAGATTTGTGTGATCTCAGAGTGTAATCTCAATGGATTCTTTTTTGTCTATATATATAGACCCATTTGCAGAAAGAGGTCACAAATGGAAGAGAAAAAAATAGAAAACACTAGGGTTTTGTAACAAATTGTTTACAGGTGGTGATCGTTCTTGGTGGAAAATTATGAAGAAACAACAGGTGGCATTGGCTTTGGATTTTCCCTACCCTTCTTTTTGTTGTTATAGAAAGAGAGAGAGAATGCGTATGTACATAAGTGTAAGTGGAGAGAGAGAGAGAGAGGCACGTTAAAACTGGGGGAGGAGGACAGCTAACGTAAGATGACTTAAGCCCAAGCTTTTGTTACTTTCTGTAACAATGGATATGTCATCCATAACTGCTTCCTTTGGGTTTTGTTGGGATTGTAATTTTATTGGGCGAGACTATTTCTATCCAAAAATATTTATTTTTNTACTTTCTGTAACAATGGATATGTCATCCATAACTGCTTCCTTTGGGTTTTGTTGGGCGAGACTATTTCTATCCAAAAATATTTATTTTTATTCAATTTAATTTTTTATTATTAAATTATTAAGTTTATTCCTTCTAATAATTAAATGCACTCTATGTTATAGACACTCCTTTAATAAATAAGAAAAAAAATTTACCAAAACTCAAAAAAAAAAAATCAATTAAACAAAGGCCGATGTCGACGGAAGAATAAAAAACAATTCATTCTTTTTAATTCACAAAGAATTTAAGGAAATAATTTTTTATTGAAATAGTTTTTATTGCCACTTTTTAAAATAATCCGAATATATATNAATAATTAAATGCACTCTATGTTATAGACACTCCTTTAATAAATAAGAAAAAAAATTTACCAAAACTCAAAAAAAAAAAATCAATTAAACAAAGGCCGATGTCGACGGAAGAATAAAAAACAATTCATTCTTTTTAATTCACAAAGAATTTAAGGAAATAATTTTTTATTGAAATAGTTTTTATTGCCATTTTTTAAAATAATCCGAATATATATACACACACACACGTAGACCCTAAATAAAAAATTATTAATCTTAACAGAGATACCAAAATACCATAAAAATAATAAAAATTCACACAGTACACATGAAATCGAACATATAATTAAATCAATGAGTAATACTAACTTGTATCTCTTTTTTTTTTTTTTGTAATACTTGTATCTCATTAGAGACATACATATTAAAAAAGTGTTTTTGTGAGTATATAAAATGGAATAATGAATGAAATCCTAATTATGAGAATATATAAAGTATACTTATTAAACAAGTGTATATAGCATGGGTTTGGTTTAATTATTAATAAGGTGAGCATAAAAAGGGTAAGTTTACTAGTTTGATAATAAGAAATTAAATGAGNAGTACACATGAAATCGAACATATAATTAAATCAATGAGTAATACTAACTTGTATCTCGTTTTCTTTTTTTTTTGTACTACTTGTATCTCATTAGAGACATACATATTAAAAAAATGTTTTTGTGAGTATATAAAATGGAATAATGAATGAAATCCTAATTATAAGAATATATAAAGTATACTTATTAAACAAGTGTATATAGCATGGGTTTGGTTTAACTATTAATAAGGTGAGCATAAAAAAAGGTAAGTTTACTAGTTTGATAATAAGAAATTAAATGAGGTAGTTATAGATATTTGTAGGGTGGAAAATAACCCTACTCAATTTTATTTCCTTAATTATTTTTTTTATTATTATTTATCATTTTTAAAAACTTACATATCTCTTTACCTTCTTTTCAAACCTTTTTACTAAACTACAAATTTAAATGCAAAAACATGTTTTCGATAACAAACATGTTTTCTATTTTAAATAAATAGAAATTATTAAAGACGTCAAAACGTGTTTTTTTAAGACATTTTTTAATAATACTATTATTTGAACTTAATTTTCTAAATTAATTCTATCAAAATCATTGGATTGAAAATCATCTGATTGTTTGTTGGTCCCAACAAGCTCTGGGTTCAATCTAATAATTACCAATGATCAGGTCAATAAATGAAATCAATAAATTAAGTTCAATTAGTATTGCGTATTTTTTAAATACGGTTTTTAAAAAAAAAAAAAAAAAGAAGACAACTTTATTAATAAGTCTTAAAAAAAAAACAATAAAGTGGAATAAAAAAACACTCTGTCCTCTGCAGATGCTGAAATACTTGCATGCCATTGCTCAACTTTTATGCAGAATTGCATTCATTGATGATGAATGGTCCTCCACAGTGGAGCAGTAAAGGGGCAACTTTGGTGATATTTATTGTAAGTGTGAGACTTTTTTAAGTGGAGAGACTGGTGGCAAGGGTGATAGTGATGGTAATTTTTTTTGTGGTGGTCATGGGTGTGGGATAGCAATGTTGCAGTGACTATTCAATGGGCTTTAATTTTGATTTATGGAGGTTATTTTTTTAGATAATAGTTTGTAGGTGAAATAAGATTTTGTGAATCGAATTTTCTCGTATGCAACTCTTATGGGGTGATTCAGTGATTAAAACTAGTATTTAATAACACAAAAGTCTTTAATTCAATTTCTTCCCATATCCCCAAAAGGTCAACCACCTTTGTTCATCAAGAATATACTCTAACACAACTCAAGTACAAGTATACTAAAAAGGTAGGGGTACATCTTGGGTTGGGCAATCGGATTTCAACTCGAGCCCAACTCAAAAAAATTAGAGATTGCGCAAGGGTTTTTAATACTTGAGTTGAACTTGGGTCAAAAAATTCTAACGCGAATTCAATTTGGGTTGGGTTTGGGTTAAGGGCTCGTGAACCCGAGTTCAACCCGAACCCGATAAATTAAAAAAGAATTTATATATATATATATATATATATATATATATATATATATATATATATATATATACTGATTTTTCATATTTGTTTTATCGTTCTCTGTCTCTCTCGTTCTCTTTGCCACTCTCTTTAAAAATTTGGTTGAAGTTATTGATTGTTAAATTAGGTGAATATTATGTAATATATGTATTAGGTTTAGAACAACAAGTTTATGTTGGGCTCTACTCGAATTGAACCTGTAAAATAACCCGAAATCAACTCGAAATCATCAATCCAAATTCAACCCGAACCTGCCCGAATTAAACTCGGACAATGCTCGAGTTGAGTTCCTCAACCCGAGGTAGGATTAAGATTAAGGTTAGGATTGAAAATTATATACTTAGGGTTGGGCTAGGGTTGATTGTCTAACCCGTCCAACCTGCCCAAATTACACCTCTATAAAAAAGATTTGGATTATATGAAATAACATTAATGAAATAATAAAGAAAAGTACTATATATTTACTCTTAAAAGAAAGATAAATATAGCAATCCCACAAATTATTGAATAAATAAGAATAAACACCTGTTTGTAGAGAAGTAATACGATTTTTTTTTCTTTTTTTTGGGGATGGAAAATGTCATCTATGAAAACACAGCATACTAGATCCAACGGCTGAGACATCAATCAGGATCAGTAGGTGAGCATTAATTCTCAAGCACCCAATCATAGATTCTCTAGTCGGTCCCGACAAATGCCTACTACAAAGCATTTTTCACATAAAAAGCCATACGTGTCCAAATCCTCATTTCTTTATGGACTTCACTATCCTTCCGAAAAAATAAATTTTGGTAAAAATAATTATTATAATAGTAATAAAAATATTTATAAATATAGTAAAATACCCGTAAATCTGATAAATCACCCACAAAAGTGATAAATTTTTTTGTTATAAAATAATCTATAAAAATTATAAAAATATCTATTAAAATAATAAATTTTGGAAGTATAATTTTAATTTTTTTTTTTTCGGTATCATAATCAAGACTTTTCTTGTATGTTATGTCAAATGCATAAAGTACTAAAACATTATAGGAAATTTTTTAAATTGTTAGGTTTGTCAGATAGAGAATTGACTGACCTGAGAGAGTGCCAAACAATTTGTCTATATTTAAGCAAACCTATGTTGACAATGAGAATCATCTGTCTAAGCTTTTACTTTTTTAAGGTTCTTCCACTATTATTTCTCAACCAAAAAGACAGAAAAAAAAAAAAAAAAA